GTTATATTACATATATCGTATACGATATAGAGTAATAAAATATGAAAGCATGTTAAATGCAACATGTTTACTTTTTATTTATTACTTACGCTATTAATTTTACAATAATTATTTTTTATACTGCGTGATTTTGTGCGTATATGAAATTATTTTGCATTGCTTTATTTATTTATTGATCTCATTATATGCAAAATATTTGTAATAGTTTCTATATATAAAAGCAAAATAAAACTTAAAAATGTAAAAAATTTTATGAAATTAAATTTTAAAAAACTTATGTCAAATATATGTCAAAATTTGTTTTGAATGTCAAACATTTAAGGAACTAACTAATTTGCTTTAAGTTCCATATTGCTCAATATATTTTGCTGCTGCTCACCTTCAATTGATAACAATTCGATTTATTTGATTTAATTAACAAAATTCAGCAATGAAAACTTTAAAAATTAATAATGAAATTTTTGATATTATCGGAGAAGAACAAATTGATTTCGAACATTCATACTCACGTATAAAATGTTTAGTTATTTACTTAAAATGTTTGCCATACAATGACGATCAATTTATATAAACAAAAATTTAAGATTATTTTGAACATGTGTATACATAAAATTTATAAAATTAATTAAATTTTGGAGAACGTTTGCAAATATAATAAATTATTGTTATTCCGCATGCTTATACCAATTTGAAATTTCAATGGTTTTAAAGAGAAGCTTGATAGGTCGTTCAGATGTTTTCCAAGTCTAAAAATTTAGATTAAAGAAAATTGTAGCTTTTTTATTCAAGGAATATGAAATAAATTATAGAATCTGAAAAAAATATCAGTAGATTTAGCAAATTTAAATTAGACAGGTCTTCCTTGTAACCATACAGATATAAATTTGTTAATACTGTAATTGTATGGCGTACTGTATGATAAAATAATAAATGTGTTGGTGTATATGTTTATGTGTACGTATTAGAGTTATACACAAATTTTATTGCTATTGAAATTATTGATTTTCATACAGAATTAATCGCAATAATTACGATAATATAAGTATAGTTAAAAATTGTAATTTCTGATTTCAATACGATAAATGTTGTGAAATTTTGCAACATTATCGTAAAAGCGTATAGTCAATGAAAAAAGGCCAAAATTTCTTAGAATAGAAATCTAAAGAAGCACCGTAATTTTTCAACATTCCAAAAGAGATTGCTCTACGCTTTCAACTGCCGTGTTAGTCAAAGTAGAATAAATAATTTGATTCTGAGCCATAAAAAACCTAAATATTTTCTTGATTTCATCCTCACAACTTAAAAGAAATTTATAATTTTATATTTCCACTTTTCGAATTTTACAATTCATAACACTTTAAAAAATATTAGATGGAATATTAGAACAATAAAGTCACATTTTAAACAAAGAATTTTTTCTCTTTTAAAACTAATCAAACATTTTATTTTATGATCTCACATATTACAACAATTTTACTGCTCTCTTCCTCTCTCTCTCCCTCTCTTTGTTATCGTTTAATTATCAAAACCAACAATGTTAAAACAATGTTAAACCATAAATAAAGGGAAGATAAAAAAAACCATTCAAACAATATAAATTTTTAGATTTAAAAAATTTGATTTGAAAAACTAAAATAAAAATTAAAATTTAAAAACTTGTAATGCACATAAGATCTTTATCAAAAACATATCCTTGTGCACATACACCATAAAAATATTATCCTTTATAACACCCATGTTAACAAAACATTTTTCATTATAAAAAAAATATATGCATACATACATTGGGCTCATAGACAATCGCAAGGTAAGGGCATATTTTTTATAAATTTTTGCATTGCATATTAAATGCAATATTTTTCCCTCAACAAGAGAGAAAACAAAAAAAAAAATTATTCAATAGCCTATGCAGCACAAGCACAGTACAAACTTTCTCCATCAAACTAAACTCAAAACATCGTACCTAAGAATCACTCTATGGAAAAAAAAAAAAAAACGCCTAACTTTATGCAATATTTTTGTTTTTCTTTTACTACGATAGTTGTGTGCATTTTAACGAGCAACAAATCATAAAAAGAACACATTTTATAACTGTGAGTTATAAAAATTTTTATATAGTTTTTTTCGTTTTTCGAAAAGTTTATTAACAGTTATAACATGTGTGTATGTCAATTAATATGAAGTTGCATTTATTGTTGAAGAAAAATGCAAATAAAAAAAAATTTAAATCGGATATGCAACCATCATAATATACCGTTATTTTTCTAGTTAATTTTAAATATAGTTTGTAACTATTGTAACAAACTTGAAATGTAGGGAAAATATTTATTTTTGGTTTGATTTTACATTTGTTCTTTATATTTTACCCCTTACTCTAACAAAAAAAAAACATAAAAATTAAAATATGTACGAAAATTTCGATCAATAATGCCAACAAGTATGCAAAAATAAAAAAAAATATATAAAACGGCCGAGATGAATGAGGCTAACTTTCATATAAAAATTCATAAATATTAACAACACTCACTTACCCTGCTCTCGCTCTCTATCCCCCCCTCCTTTCTATATTTAAATTTAAAATATGTGTGTATTTTGCATGCATAAAATCAAAATAAAAACAAAAGGCAAACAGTCAGAAATCTTTGTTTATTAGAATTTAACCGGATAAAGGGACAAAAGAGAGCAGTAAACAAGAAAAAAAGGAAAAAAAATTCAACAAAACACAATAAAAATATAACAGTTGAGAAATTATTGTGCAATTGCATTAAAAAACTTCATAAGGTTTTTTTTGTACGTTATGAAAAAATTTCCATTTTTTTTTTTATTTTCGCCTTATAACCATTTTCATATGTACCGTAAAATTATTGTTTTTTTTTTTTTGACTTTTTCATAATGCATATATGGCAGCCAACTTGTACTTTTTTTTACTTGTTTGTAGGTTTGTTAATGAATACTTTGCATATTATGCGGTTTAATCGTAAACAAAATGCAATTTTACACGCAAAACAAATAAAAAAAGAAATTAAGGAAGTTGTACACATATTAAAAATAAAAACACGATAGAAATGAAATTGGAAACTCTCTTGTAGGCATCATTCAAAGTGGCCTAAAGCAACAAATTGTTAAGAAATAAAATTAAATCTGAAAAAAAAAATTGTTGTAGAGAATTTTTGAATCAAAATTGTGGTAGGTTTACAATCAAATATGTAGACTTTTTTTCAATAAACTTTAATTTTGATAAATTTTGAAGTTTTTAAAGTGTTGCCGCTCTTATCTTGTACTTTAATAAGATTCCAATAATTTAATAATTTGTATATTTTGTAGAGAAATTAGGTGGAACAATTTTCTCCAAAATTTATCTGAAATGACAGAATAATTAAGCTTGTTTCAATATAACAGGGCATTAATAGAGACCGTTTGCTCAATTCAAATACATGTAATCTACTCTCAGTTCTCTTTAAACTTCATATTCTCAAAATTTATATTTGTTCTCTTTCGATTCCAGTACCTAAAACCACAAAAATCTAAATTAACTGACTATAGAAGAACAAGTACCCTATATTATATAGGAATGTATTGCAAATATCTGCTGCACATAACAAAGAACAAAAAAAAAAAACATCAAAGTGCATTCCGGTATTTTTTAGGTCTTTCACATGAGTGCATTTATATCTTTTTATATTTTATATTTCATGCATTATACACACACAAAATTTTTTATACAGAAGAGTTAAATAAGTATAATTTTATTGTTATATAATATGCGTACATAATATAACATTAAAATTCCATAACACACTCTTTTTATCCAACCACGAGCTTTATTCAAAAAGAGCAACTTAATTGTAAAAGAAAGGATAATTAAAAAACAGAAATTAGTAAGTAAATTACTGATTTTTGTAACGATAAATTGAATTGCATTTGGAGAAATTAGAGTCTAAGTACATAACACATTAAGTATATGTATAACTAGATTTGTTATACAAATCAGATGTGCGTATGTGTATATGAGCCACATACAAGTATATTTATTCAATATAATTGCTTCATTATAGTGCACAAGAATAAAATTTTTGTAGCAAAAACAAAACTATTCTGTAATAGAAAAATTTAAATTAGAATTACGCACAAAATTTGAATGTAGTTTCCATTTAATTACTTCCGGTTTAAATTTTTCAACAATTTATAAAATAATGTTATAATAAATTAGAGGTTATTTTTAAAATAATATTTTTAATAATTTTAATTCATAAATCGCTTTAATTTTTAAATGTAATTCTCTGATAAATATTTTAATTGTGAGTCAAACATGGGTTCTTTGTTTTACACTTATAAAATCCTGTATAACAGTATAATTATACTAAAAGTATGTAAATAATTATATTAAATGTTAATAAAAATGTATGTGAAAATTCTTATTAGAAAAAATGAAATTAATATAGTTTCATTGTACTTCAAGAATTATGTTAGGCTTTAAATAATAAGGACGGCATAGTTACCGTCTATTATTTAGCTCCCTTCAATCAAAGAGTAAATAATTAATTTTATTTAATAATAATATTAAATACGTATATACACTTATGTTTATGTATTTATGTATAATACTGATATAATAAATAACTTTAATTAATTTTCGATTAATTTATTCAAATATCGCAAAAAAAAAAATACTCCATTTTTTTACTTAAAACATTTTCATTACCCACACTCAAATAATAATCAATAAAAAAAAATTAATTTTAGCATCAAAAAAACTTCTCCTCTCGACTAACCAAACTTCTATTCACCCTCCTTGAGATAATTAATTAACATCAATCAATCATAACGCACATATCTATTACGATATACATACATATACATACACAACGGCACAGCCGGTCAACAAAATTTCTCCTTAACTCTTTTTTTTTTTTTTTTAATAGAAACTTCTAAATAATTTCCATTGGTAAAATTTCCATTTATTTATTTCTTCTATTAAAAAAAATCATTCAAGCTAATTTTGCCTCCTGTGAGGTTTGAACTCACGACCCCTGGTTTACGAGACCAGTGCTCTACCACTGAGCTAAGAAGGCCATATTAAATATTTTGCCAAAGTATCTACAAAATGTTTAGAACATTTTATCATATACAAAATAAAATATCTCATTCTCATTTTTTCCCCCATAAAAGTAAATACAAACAAACAAAAAAATGTTTCTAAGTAAAATTATTTTTACGTCATTGTTATATTGTCAATATACTTCTTACTACATTGAAATTATCGCAATAAAAATTTGAGTAAAATATTATGAAACCACAGTTTGTTTACCATTCATAAAATAAATCGAAATTTCTCCGTTGAATATTGTCGCTGTAGTTGTATACAAATACAAAATTCAATGTACAAGATTTATACAAGCGCAAATTCTTATCACTTTCACATTTCAGAAATCACAACATTATTTTGCAAGAGTAACATATTATGTAGTAATAATATGTAAACAAAATCATACAAAGTCTCATACTACAAACTATGATGAAGTTCTAAATGTAGCAATAAATGTTGTCTATTTCATATAACACCAATAGCAACAACACAATTTTATTTTAAAATACTCAAAAGTTTTTGTTGCTTTGAAACATAAACGAGAAAAGAATAAAAAAAAAACTGAAAATGAAGAGAATAAAATATGTTGCTGACTGAAAATGTTGCTACATTTTATATACATTTCTTCATGTTTCCACAACATTATAAGAAAATATACTGTTAAAAAATGTTTCGCAACACAATAGGAAATTTTGAGAAGAATCTATTTTAACAAAATGGAAATTCGAGTATTAATTTTATTGTAATGAAAATTTAAAATTAAAATTAATAATTTTGAATCATTTTGTGTAATTTTTGAAAGCTGTTATAAAATATTCATAAATAATATGATTAATAATAATTATGTTTATTATTAAAGTCATATTATTGTAAAATAGTTTGATGTTTTCGAAATTCTAATAGTTTTGAAATTCAAATGACTGTAATACAAATTTTAATAAAACATAGTGTGGGAATTGCAGCAATGCTGAGCTACTGCATTATTCTGTCCATATGTGACCACTTCTAATAGCGATATAGTACTACAGCAAATCTAATGTCATCGTAACTGTCATAAAACATGTACAGTTCTGAGAAAAATATTGAAAAGTTTGTAAATTATTCAGAGAAATACGGAAAAAAATGTGATTTTTAACATTTTTTTGTCAAATAATGTGAATGTTAAAACCCAAATTTTAAATTTAGTTTAAAAAAAAATCTGGTTGTCTAAGGCTACAATACTTCCTCAAAATTATGTTATTTAAATTAGACTAACCCATTTGCAAAAAAGTTATACCTTCAAACCAATATGCAGAATGCATGTAAAGCAACAAAAATTCATATGGTTATCAATCAATAGAAAATTTATGCCAAATACAAGACTTATATTTCATGCTTTCTCAATTAATACATTAAATAGGAAAAAAAATAATAAAAAACGGAAAAATTCTTAAAAAGAATGCAAACATCAATTTTTTTTTCATATTTAACATTAAAAATTATTTATGACTTGAAGGTGGAAATTAAGATGGAAATATTTTCCTCACCAGATATTTTATTATGAGTACCTACACATATTTATAAACAAACATAATGTGCTTAAACTAACAATTTTGTTTACATATTTATTTCTGTTTTCAGTTAGTGTTGTCTTCTTGTATTGTAACTCTGTCTGGTTTTAAGAAATTCGAAATATTTTAACAGCTACAAATAAAATTGAAATTATGTTTGTTTTGTTTGGTTTTGTGTTTTGTGTTAAACGTGGTACATTATAATGTTGTAAGTACTTTACGAGTATTGCATTTATGTATGAGCATATATAAACAATTATACTCGTATTGTTGAAAGAGTGAAAAAAAGAATGTGTAAACAAATTCTAAGCATAATTTTTTTTAATTTTTTTTTGTGTAACACACATTGGAAATATTTACAGAGAAGTGACATAAAAAAATAAACTCATCATAATTTTGGAAATAATTTAAGGCATATTAAAAAACCAAGAAAATACAAGCAGTCGCGACAAATTCAGTTTTAAAAATTAGAACATTTTATAAACGCAATAGGGGGGTACTACTAACATGCATCTCAAAAATCAAAGAGCATTTGAAGTTTAAAATTGTAAACATAATCAGAATGAAAAGATGCACTTCAAAATTTGACAGCTGCAAAGATTCAATAAAACTAAATAGTGAGCACTGAATAACGTTGTCAAAACAGAACTTTACAGCAAATTTGAGTTGCGCTTGCAGCTTTTTTACTATACAAAACTTTCAAACTGCCAAATTTTGAAGTATTGCTTTGCAGAACTAGGATGCAACATATAATAGCTTAAAAGACAATTTACTGATAGTGACAAATGACACTGTGCCGTAATTTTGTAAAACTATTTTACCCGTGCTATAGTTAAAATGTCACACAATATTTAAGCAATAAAATTTTTGTTATAACTGTAAATGATTCTTAGGAGTTTTGAGGGAAAAAAACTAAATTTTCATTAATTTATAAATTTTGAGTAAACTTTAAAAACTTTATTACAAAGCGAAAGCAATGAACGCCTCCACCACACACAACCTCCTTAAAAATAATATTTTGCTTGAAGCTAATTTAACACTTTAACCGCTGAATACCTAAAACAAAGAAAAAAAATAAGGGAAACATCAACAACAATTATGTAAATAACACATTTACACAGGTACAAAGTATACACAGTTATGTACACATATAAATTTATATTGTAAATATTACAAGTAGAAAATAACGAACAAGAAGAACAGAGAGAAAAACAAAAGAACGCATGTAATCTGTTATGTTTGGTTAACATTTTCATCTTAACATGTTTTTTTTTGTGTTCTTGTTCTTTAAGTATCAGAGTTTTTTCTTTACTTTAATTTTGTTTTTGTTATTATTTTTTATTGTTTTCTTTATTATTGATATCTGTTTACTTTTGGAGTACCTGTTAAACATAAACGAAAACACTTTTCTGACACCTTTTTTGTTTTTTTTTTTATTATGAATTTTTCGAATATGTTTTTGTTTATTATATTGTTGTTGTAATATTTTTTTTATTTATTGTTTTTACACTTGCAATAATAATATATTGGAAAATATGTACATATAAGATATGTGTATGTATGTAGCTATAAAATGTGAATACAAGAATGGATACGAATTGTGTTCGTTCATTCTTCAGCATCTTTGGTGGCATAATAAAATAGATGATAGTGATGTGATGAAGATTATAATATGAGACTTAATTGTTGATTTTATTTATTTGTAAAATATGAATGAGTTTAAATATTTTATGTGAATATTTGTATAATGTACACGAATATATTAAAAATATATTTATATCTTTCTTAAACGAGAAATATACGAGAATACGAGTACCGAGTACGTTTTTATTATCTGCACACATAAATGCAATTAAACCGTACTCTACTCCAACTGAACTATAAAATATCAAACTGAATTGAATTAGTTAAAGCTCATAATTAATGATATAACGCAATATTTGGCATTGACAATTCAAAATTTGACATTGACAACCCAAAATTGTCATTGACAATTCAAAATTTCAAAATGACGTTTCTAAGATTGTAAATATATGCACAAAGTCTTTTTTTTAAGTAATTAATAATTACTAATGTAAATTAATTTTATTAAACCGAATTGTAATAGTATATTGTACTGGGGTGCAGTAGGTACATACCTACTTAATTTTTTTGTTTCTGTTTACATTCTTTATATCAAAAATATTAAATTTAACAACATTTTGAAATCATTATTATAATTATTATTATATAAGATTCTCACTTCTATTCTCATATTTTATAAAAATAATAATAAACACATACAATGTATGTGCCATACAGACGTAAGAGGGTAAAATATGTATATATTAGAGTAGAAAATGCACGTATAAGTATTCAATTTAATAGTTTACTTATATGTATATGTATGTATAAATATAATATATACAGTAAATATATGTATGTAATAATATATACAGGTACACGCACATATGCTATTTTAATATCTCATTTATTTTCATTTTTATTCAAAATCTATTTACATAATGGCACAGGTTCACCCCTAATTTAACCAGATATTTAGATACTTGATATTATTTTTCTTATTATTCAATTTATTATTGTTTTTCATAATATTTCTTAGCAGCACGTACATCTATAATATGTGCATAATCACACAAATTTCTATATCATATGTGTTAGACTTTTACCTCAAATTCAGTCCTCATTTCAGTTTTTGTTTATTTATTTAATTTATTTATTTATTTATCTTATTATTAATACTTTTTTTGAATCACTTGCATATTTTTTTCTTATTTAGTTTTTAATCTTAATAGCATACTTACTTACAAACAGGCTTATACTATGTTTGTTGTACATACTTTCTTTTTTTGTCTCTTTTCTTTCTTAAAAGATAAGATACTCGTATAAGCAATTTTATTACTTAAATATGAATTTACACTCAACAAAACTATGAAGAAATTTTAGAATATAGGGTTGCCGTTTTTGAAATTCAATGTCAATTTTAATAGTAAATTAAGAAAAATTAAGAAAAGAACTAACTAACTAACGAGTAACGAGTAATTTTTTGTACTATGTAAAGAGCTACAGACTGAATGTATTAGATTTTGTGAGAATATTCTAGAAGACTAAAAAATGACTTGAGGAGCAATATGTTTAACTTTCACAAATTTTTTTAAAATTTAATAAACTATGTAAATGAAAATTGTTTTGGCTGAATAATAGACATTATGGCTGAAGGCTGAAAAGGAGTGAAATACGGGCATTGATCCACCTTTCCTTAAAAATTAAATAAGAACTAATAATGAAATAGTAACTGAAAGAGAATCTTCAAAAACAGATGAATATGATAATTTTTCTGAGTGTATTACAGAAACTACTATTGTATAGTTGTATTTGTATATAAGTACACAACTAAGAACTAGTATGTAATTTCAACCACTTCTCGAAAATTATT